CTGACCCTGGTCACACCCTGAGCCCTGACCCTGGTCACACCCTGAGCTCTGACCCTGGTCACACCCTGAGCCCTGACCCTGGTCACACCCTGAGCTCTGACCCTGGTCACACCCTGAGCTCTGACCCTGGTCACACCCTGAGCTCTGACCCTGGTCACACCCTGAGCTCTGACCCTGGTCACACCCTGAGCTCTGACCCTGGTCACACCCTGAGCTCTGACCCTGGTCACACCCTGAGCTCTGACCCTGGTCACACCCTGAGCTCTGACCCTGGTCACACCCTGAGCTCTGACCCTGGTCACACCCTGAGCTCTGACCCTGGTCACACCCTGAGCTCTGACCCTGGTCACACCCTGAGCTCTGACCCTGGTCACACCCTGAGCTCTGACCCTGGTCACACCCTGAGCTCTGACCCTGGTCACACCCTGAGCTCTGACCCTGGTCACACCCTGAGCTCTGACCCTGGTCACACCCTGAGCTCTGACCCTGGTCACACCCTGAGCTCTGACCCTGGTCACACCCTGAGCTCTGACCCTGGTCACACCCTGAGCTCTGACCCTGGTCACACCCTGAGCTCTGACCCTGGTCACACCCTGAGCTCTGACCCTGGTCACACCCTGAGCTCTGACCCTGGTCACACCCTGAGCTCTGACCCTGGTCACACCCTGAGCCTAGATCCTGGTCACACCTTGAGCCCTGACCCTGGTCACACTCTGAGCCCTGACCCTGGTCACACCTTGAGCCCTGACCCTGGTCACACGTGGAGCGCTGACCCGACCACAGGCTGAGGGCTGTGCCCAGTCATCCGGGTTCTATTATCTCACGGGCCTCCGTGGTGAGGAGACAGCCCCTGAGGGGCCCCCGGCCCATGTCCAGGGCGCCCACTGCCTCCCCATTCGATGCTCACGCTCCTCTCAGGCCCCGGTCCCTGTGCGAGGAGGACGGGGCGCAGGCTGCAGGGGGAAGAGGCAGCGCACAGCCGGGCCCTGCACGCAGCAGGGAGCTCGCCCCACACCAGGCTTCTCTGGAGGGAGGGAGGGAGGCCGCGTGAGGGACGGAGGCTCTGCAGACACACGTGGCCACACCTGCTGGGCCTCCAACACCCGTCGCCTGCCACCCTCCGAGGACGCGGTCGGGCGTCCTGGGGCCTGCGCAGGCCATGGAGCTGGCCTCCACGTCACTCCCCCACCTGCCTGACTCTAGGCTGTTTCAGGGCCGCTGCTCACCTGGGGGCCTCCCTCCTCCTTCCAGCTCAGCCCCTACAGAGGCCAAAGGCCAACAAAGGGCACAGGGCTGCTCCCCCTGCTTCTGAACCGGCCTCGGTTCAGGCAGCTGGAGTCCACCTGCCCACACGCCGGGCCCCCAGGAGCCAGCGGGTCCGCCGGCAGCCCCACCCCGAGCTCCCCGGGAGTCCCCCCTGGGGCATCAGGTAACCAGCATGACGGCTTTGCCCCCACTGGGCTGACAGCGACAAGTCACTCTCGGGAGGCCAAGGGCAGCGTGGCCAGGCTCGCTGGCACCTTGCCCGCCGGCCACTCACCTCGATGAAGGTGCTGAGGGTGGCGTTGGTGGGGTTGTGCGTGATGAGGAACCGCATGTTCTTGTAGCTCACCTCCACGGGGGCCGGCCGGTTCATGCGGGCCATGACGGTGTGGGACACGGACGGAGGAGCCCCCAGCCCCCCACACCCGAGAACGGATCCCTGTGCTTGTCCGAGAGAGAGGAAACGCTTTAAAAACCCGCCCCCACACCCCGCACAAATATTGTGCAAATACTTGGGAGGGGGCAGGACGCTGCCCGGTGCGTGGATACTTAGAATACAAAACTCAACTCTTTAAAAAAGGAAAAGAAGACGCAGCCCCCACCGGAAGGGAAGCCGCCGTCAGACCGAGAATTACAAAAGGGCCGCGAGAAAAATAACCACGGAAACTCGGCAAAGAAAACGTCAAAAAGCCCCGCGTTCGTCCGGCTGTGCTGTCCGTGTCCTGCGCGGTGCCCGTGGCAGGGGACGTGGTCCCGGCATCGGTGGACGGGTGGCCAGGCCCCTTCTCTCAAAGGCGGGCCCCAAGCCCCGAGGACCGGAGGAAGCCAAACTGGAACTGAACCGAAAGGGC